AGCGTCGAGGATACGCCCAGAAGAAATACAAGATATAATAGAAGCAGCCGACAGAGATCCCTCTTTAAGCACCAGAGCCATTGCCCGAAGCAAAAACATATCCCATACTTCAACGCACAAAATACTACGCTCGGAAAACATGCATCCTTATCATGTACAAAAAGTACAAGAATTGCTTCCAAGCGACTATGCACAACGGGTTAATTTTTTTCAGAATATGTTGAGAAGGTGCAAAGAGGATGAAACATTTTTCGAGAGCATCTTATGGACAGATGAAACCAACTTTAATCGAAATGGAATATTCAACATGCACAATTTCCATTCACTGAGCATGGAAAGTCCACACGCTATTCGCCGACACAGCTTTCAAGGTGAGTTCGGCGTTAATTTATGGGCTGGAGTACTCAACAAAAAATTAATTGGACCATATGAATTGCGCCAGGTTGAATGGTTAGTCATATCTTGCTTTTCTACAAAGCATGAGCCGCTATAGGATGTACCTTTGGACGTTCGAAGTCGCATTATTTTCAATGCGATGGTGCCCCATGCCACTTTGCACGGGATGTACGGATTACTTAGACAGTGCATTTCCTGGGCGTTGGATAGGTAGAGGTGGACACATACGATGGCTTCCAAGGTCACCCAATTTAAATCCTCTAGATTTTTTTATATGGGGGTTTTATAAGGGGATAATCTATACATCTGAATACACAAATGTCAACCAACTGCGCCAGACAATTTATGTACCAAAAATAAAACATGGAAAACGCAAATTCATTTCAAAGACTAAATTTTATGGTCGGATGAGACCACATTTAAGAAAGATGGGTACATGAACCTGCATACGAGTGGCACGTAGCAAACCCACATTTGATGAGAGAAGATAAATCTCAATATCTCTTCAAGATAAACCATTGGACAGGAATTTTAAATGGTAAAATAATCGGTCCGTTTGAGTTCCCAGAGACTTTGACTGCTGAGGTTTATTTAGGTTTTTTGCAAAATCATTTAGAAACTTTATTTGAGGACGTGCCACTGAGTATTTACGGGGACATGTGGTTTCAGCATGATGGCTGCCCAGCGCACTATGCACTCTTAGTGAGAGAGTATCTTGATCAAAACTTTCCAGGCAGATGGATAGGGCGGTCTGGTACAATACCGTGGCCAGCCCGGTCACTAGATTTGAATCCGTTAGATTTTTTTTACTGGGGAACTGTAAAAGAAAAAGTGTATTTCAAGCCGATTCAAAATGTAGCTGAGCTACGGCAAAGACTATTGGAAGCAGTTAATAACCGTGGATTCGCTCATTTAATAACCTGATCTTTTTTAAGAAGATGTCGAGCGCGTATTGCGGCTGAAGGAAAACAGTTTGAGCATTTGCTGTAAAGGTAAATCATCATCAGCAGCATTTTAACGCCCACTGTTGTGCAAACAGTTATCCTTAAGGGTCCTTGTGCGTTTTCATAATCGCTGTTTAATTAGGAAATTTTGAAAAATTTTCATCAGTTTTTCTTCAAATAAAAATTATGCGTAAGTTAACGAGTAATCTTCTAAGTGTTATACCATTTTGGAATCCTTATTAAATGCGCCAACTTTTAAGGTTACTTGCCAAACTCTCGTAGTACATTTTTTTCCAGTACAGCCAGTTAAAGTTGAGCAAGGTTTTACTTTGGAATACTTAGTTGGGAAATAAGTGGCAATTTTTCCTGAACGAGAAAAGTTGGCAGTAAGGTTGAGACACCAGTTTGAAGATGCATTATTCATCATTACATTGTAAAAATAAAATCCAAAAAAAGTTAATATTTGTAGTAACAGGAGTTGACAGACTGCCGTAGGGTGTGAAATTTCTATATTTTTTTCAAAGACCTATAATTTTCAAAACATACATAAAATTTTTTTAAATATTTTTCTGATAGCTGTTATGACTGCCTATCACCCGGTTTCGGCTTGACGTCGACTTCTGGGACACCCTGTATATATATATATATATATATATATATATATATATGGGTGAATATCAGTTATTGGGGAATTCAATGTTCCTGCAAAAAAATCTTAATCCAATGGACAAATTGTGGAAATAGACCATTCAAATAGTGGAAGATGTCAATCTTTATTTGGAACATATGGCGTAATTGAGGTAACCATTAAGATTTAGGAAAAATCTGATTGAAAGTTAACAAAATGTATACACCCCTGGCATGTTCCATTCCCAAATTTCACTACAAGCATCAACAAATCTCTGTATTATGTACTGGTATAACAATAAGCGGATACTCTTTGTATTACCTAATACATCTGATAACATATTTTCGCAAAAAGGCACACTAAAAATATACATAAATGCGTAAAAATTCCCGTTTATTAGTGGTTCCTGAGAACAGTGTCACCCTCACCTGGCGCAATTCAAATTGCATATATTCTTCAAAATATGTCAACTATGCGACTTGACCTTGAGCAGCAAGTAGCAAATAAAGAAGGGATAGTGCGAAACTATCGTAATTTGGAAAATGAAGACCAGGGGCGCGTCAGTAGCCCACTAACAGTCGGCCGATACCCATTTGCCAGTGAGTGAAGCATTTCCCCTGGTAAGCATATCTTTGTGAATTTAAAAGTTACATTTTTGCGACTTTATAAAAAATTAAGATTTTTTAATACAAAAGCCATGAATTACGTTAAAATAATATAATAATCAACATATCTTGCTTTTTTGGGACTTACGCACGTTTTTGTCACTTCCCTGGCGTCCCTCCCCTGGCATTTTTTATGTCAGGGGAAATACACACTGCCCAGGGGAAATACAAAGGCACCTTTTTGTATAAGATGTGTAGCTACTATACCAAATTCAACTTCAAGAGGCAGTAGATCTGAAATAGGTCAGGCATGAGGGGCCGGGCCAGACACGGCCTAGGGCCGTATTCAGTGCTCAAACGCTCATTGTCAGTGTTCATACCAATCTGTTACATCAATCAGCGGGCTGCACCCAAGAAGTTGCCTGGCCCAGTTTAGGGCTCTGAGCGGCCTGCTTCCTGCTCTTGAAGTTGAATGTGGTATAGACACTATTTCATTAATTTCAGGTACCAAAAAAACCATAACTCACTAAAATGGCAAAATTATAAAAAAGCAAACCCGAGAGGAAAGATTGGAGAAAAAACGCCAAGCAGAAAGACCACGCGACCAGCGAATTAAAAATGATCCAATCAAGAATGCTGAGTTAAAAGAAAAAGAGAAGTATCACAGAAAGAAGGAGATAGTACAAGTTAGAAGTATAAAAGATCTGACAGATAGGGAACAGCGAGCTATGAGAAAGATATGGAGAGAGCAAACTGAAAGATATAGGGATCGTGTGAGGCAAAAAACCAAAAAAACGAAATTGATGGATTAAAAAACAAGGTGAAGAGATTTCAAAGGAAACTAGATCACGTAAGAAGTCTAAAAATGTCACCAAAGTCGAAAGTGGACCGATTACTAAAAAAAAAAAAAAAAAAAAACGAAACCAAGTAATCAGGAGAATGTGAAAGAAGATAAAAAGCATCTGTCATTCAGTAAGGTAGTTCAAAATCAATTAAAAGAAAATATAAGGCATACTAAAAAGAAAAATGAGAAGACACTGTTTCGTAAAGTATTGAGTGGTAGGTTTATTAGAAAGTACAATGTTTTAAGTCAAATTGATATGAAGCCTGTGAAACGATAACCCACTGTGGGAGAGGTTTGATAGACGTGACAAGGAGAACAAGAATGAATGAAACTAGAGAGAAGATAAAAAACGTAATTAAAAATTTTGTTGATGGAGACTGCAACAGTCCCTTATGCGCAGGAAAAAATGACTACAATACCAAAAACAAAGTAAAAAACAAAAGAGGGTTTTACTAGACTCAGTGAAACATTTACACGCACGGTTCGTTAAAAACAAAGGAGTGCCGATAAGTTATACTTCATTTTGACGTTTGAGACCTTTTTGGATTGTATAAAATATCCAAACGTTCATAGAAGAGAAACATGCTTGTGTATAATTCATGCAAATATGGAGTTGATTTTGCTCTCTTTAAGAAGAACGAAAATTATAGGCTTTATGAGTTTTCAAGCAATGCTAAATTACTTATGTTTCTATCGCATGACATTTCCGACATAAATTTGGAAAAGTATTAGAAAGACTGCCGGTGCCAAATATAGTAATGAGAGGAAATAGATTATTTTATAAATTCAGAACTCCTATACCTGTATTCGAAAAATGAGTATCTACTCGAATTCATAAAAAATCGGGTTATAACTATGTTAATTTTATTTTTATGCTAGCTACCATTTTTTATTTATAAGCACTGATTGCGATTCAAAGACTGACCATAAGTATTATGTCAATTTTTTGTTTTAAGTTTTTATAATTTTATTTCTATTATTATTATTATTATTATTATTATTATTACTCAGGTACCTACATTGCTATCTATATTAAGTTGCAAGATATAGTATAAACAACTACAGTGGTTTTTATTTATATTAGTTCTTGTGTGAGCAGGATTCACTCAGTTGATACAAATGTTATTTTTTAAGAGACTAATAGAACATGTAGAATTTTGTTATTTTCAATAAAAAAACTATTGAACTTATTTACCTATTGGTATTTATATTCTTTTATAAAGTGTCCTTTAAGATCATTCACATGAGAAGTTGTCACTCTTCTGTCTCAGTTTGTCACTACCCTGTGTATAGTGTCACTCCCCTGACTACACATTTTCTCCTGGTAGCTGTAAAATCTCTAAAAATCAAAAAACTATCTGGTCCTGTCAAAGATGCATCACAAATAGTATAATCTTAAGAGGTAATGAATATGAAACTGAAATGAGTAATTTTTCTTAGGTACCACTAAAAACCCAAATACCTGATATTCACCCATATATATATATATATATATATATATATATATATATATATATATATATATATGTATATTCATATCCTACAATCTATAATGTTACTGGACAAAAACATTTAACACTTACCGTTAGATTCACTAACTGGTTTAACTGATAAACACTTTCCACAGTGTTTACATTGTAGTTTTGAAAACAAGATGTCACCTCTTCCATCTCTCAGAATCAGAGCTTTACGTTTTTCAATTTCATTTTGACGAGTTTGAGATGTTACCATTGATGAAGTTTGTGGATATTTTGGCGACGTTGGTGAGTCTACGGACGTCATAACTGTATGGGTGCCGATTTTACAAATATATACTCAAAAATGGACCTTTCAAGAGAAAATGGCAAAGCAGTAAAGCACAACACAAACATCTGCTAGGAACAGGGTTGCCGGGTGGATCAAACAGAATACCCCCAAAACACTGACAAAAATCCCCCAGATTTGCAACTTTATTTAAAAAAATCCCCCAAATCATATTTCATTCAGCAGATTTCAATAGCGAGTGTTAGAGGCTGGACTAGTTGGAAGATCACGGGGGGGAAGAATGTATAAAATGAAAAATAATATATTTTTCCAACGAATTGAGTATTTTTCAAGCTTATGAGAAAAACTTGTTTCTTGAGCCACGATTGCCCATGGTCATAAAACGATATACGCATTCGCTGACACTTCGCCATTTGGGGAAGGAGAGGAAAATCTAGAATGATATAAAGGCTCCTACAATTGTAGAAACGACTGACGATACAGCCCTAAATCAGGGCCAGTTCACAACTTATTATTCTGTTTGTCTGTATTCTATGACTATTATGGATGGATGTCTACCAACCTACAACTGACATAAAGGTGTAGATATGGGTTGACGTACATGTTTTGTGGAGATGGGGGCGTCATGGGGAAAGAAATAGGTACAGAAGATGAAATTGTTATTTTGCAGTTGATAGTATTTTGGAAAGACGGAATAAAATATCCCAAAAATACCCAACGATTTGATTACCCTCAAAACATTTTATCCCCCAAAGATTCCACAAAGGAAGTAAAAATTTCTCGTATTTGGGGGAAAATCCCCATATTATTTGGGGAAAATCTCTCAATATGACAACCCTAGCTAGGAGAGCAAACCACAACACTAAGCAGTAAGACTAAGACAGCTCAGAGAACTATCGGCAATTCACGGAAAACACAGAGCACGAGAGCACAAAAGATTATGGAACGATAGTGGACCATGAAGACTAGAGATAGGAGGTTAAGCTCATAGAGTGGGGGTGAAGCAAAAAATATCGACTTTGAAGTGAGTTGGTACACAACCCAACAAATGAGTTCCAGGTGCTGTTCAGTATACCTGCAGCAATATCGACAGTTTGGATGAGTTGTAGACAGAAATATTGGATAACATTAGTAAACCATGAGTTAGTAAACCTACAAACCATGGCGTAAGTAAAATGCACATAAAGAATGCAACATGTTATGCAGATGCTCTATTGTCTTTTTCACGAGTATCCATTACGGTAGAATAACAGCTGGTTATCTAGTAACATTTCAAAATTCCCCATATCGAAAAATGACACAATTCTAACGGATCCGTCAACGCCAGGTAGACAGAGCCGTATTTTGTTGATTTTTGTACCTACACTAGAGATTCATTTTGTTCTTGATAACAACTGTTTCATTGAAAAATTTCATTTTCATACAAAGTAAACCGTTACAAGCAAGTTTCACTAGAGTTACACCCAATTCGTTATTGACAACGTTACAGACTAACACCAAGATGTCATCTGCTGATCAGCTGTTCACCTCAATACTCGTCAAAACATGGCGTAAACTCTTTTTTACGAGTATCGTGTGTTCTACAGCAACTAGATTTCAGATAGCCACACCATCCTTGGTAACAGGATTGGCTACATGCGAATACGTGTATTCCTTGTCTTTGTGGAACACATGTATCTCTTACGCAGTTTAACCTCCTATCTCTAGTTTTCCTTATTATGCTCCTTTTTCAGTATAGATGTCAACAGCGTTTGAAAGGACGTACACCCTATTTCACGAGTATCCATCACGCTTTGACGTGTACTGAGGTGAACAGCTGATCAGCTAGTGACATTTTTGTGTTCGTCTGCAACGATGGCTATAATGAATCGGCACGGGTATGACATATCTTGAAAAGTGACATTATACCGATTTTTCTGACATCTGTTTTTTTTGTCATTATGTAGGTTATTCTACAAGATGTTAACTTAGCACTTAGTTCTACGTGTTGCCTAGACGTCATGAGGCTTGTTATAAATTTTTGGCTCTGATGTGATGATCTGCTTCTGAGATGGCATTACTAGAGGTCTAAGCTGTAAGTTGTGTGTTGATGATAATTACATTGGGTTCTTGTCTCAAATACACTTAATTGAGATTCAAAGCTAGAAATTAGTTGCGCATCCACCTTTTCTTATACATTCTGGAAATTACATATACAAATTTGCTGAATTTCAAAAATGAGAGAGAAAAGAAATAATTATATTCACTGTACACTGTCGAATTACAAGCCATATACATGCTAACAGTAATTACTCACAACGCGGGCGCGGTGATAATTTCCCGTGATTCTCCTCAGTTTTTCGTAATTTATAACTTTGAACATAACCTCTCTTCAGAAAGCACAACATAAAAATAACCCGTCGGGCACATCCAACAGATATACTTCATTGGCAGCATATTCAGTAATGATTTTCTCACACAGCAAATATCACTGATTTTATACACATGCAGACCAATACACATAATCATCCAGATGCGATCTTGCTATTCAACTATCTCTGTATTGTATTCAACCAACTTTCTTGTCAGAGCTAAAAACTAAAAACTACAGACCCGGATCACTCAGCCTCACAAAACTATGCAACCAATAATGCGTAGTTTAGTTTAGTGATTCCTCCACAGATGGACGTTCAAACCATCCTAGTGAGCAAACGTGGAATGACTTTTTGCGCCCTAAAAACTACCTAGTCTACAAGTTGACATCTTATGTTTTTTTTTAAGTTTTATAGGTTTTTTACATGATACCCGTGCGGGTGTAAGTCTAGCAAAATTTGTTTGTGTCGTTTTGTTTTTCATATGCAAATGAACTTTTCTAAATGAAAGAGCTGTTACGAAGTACAAAATGAATATGTAGCGTACAAAAAATCAAAACAAAATACGGCTCTCTCCCCATATCTGTGCCGATATGGGGAATTTTGAGATATGTGTATGTGTATATTATATTTTGTGGGACGTACTGCTACCAAGGCTGCGTTCGTAAATTGTTACAGAGTTGTACAAAGTACACAATTTTAGCGTTCGTAATTGTTTGACGTACTTGGTCCATGGCTTCGGAAATAGAAGAAATACTTCTGTAACGACGAAAGTGCGCTTTTTCCCGTGCTTAAAATCTTGCGAATGAGAGTATTTTCATTCTCATGGTTCATTGTTTAGGCCCATATCGTCAGTCGTCCCTACAATTAGGTATATTCTTTAATTCACCGGTTGATTCCATCACTGATGGATCCGGTGAACTCATGGTTGACAGCTGATGTGATGACGTCAGCAACCGGTTCCGTTGAATAGTCGTTAATAAAAAGTACGCATTTTTAGCCTTCATTGTCGTGGACCGTTTATTAAGCGATTCGAGTGATGATTCGGATGAAGAAGTTATCCAGCGGAGAGAATTTGCGCTCTGAGAATCAATATAAGAACTATAAATCGGAAAACCAAGAAATTTTCAAATATCGATGATCTCAAATCAATACGAGCATTGATTTGAGATCGTCGATGCTTCCCGAATAAGAACCATCGATATGGATTTTCTGAGAGCATTCCTGTATTCATACAGGAAGAAAAACAGAACAAAATCAGAAAATCGACATTTTCGGACTTACGAGGTATTGATTTGAGATCGTCGATATGGATAATTCAAAACAAATTGACTTGCTTTCAGATGCTCTATTTATTTCAAATTGTGTTGAAAAAAAACATTAAATTTCACGCGACTCCTATGCTGCTGACTTCAATATTTTCTTCTTCCATTTTTTCACACAAAAATGTACTTGTCAAAAACTGATAAAATGTGGAGGTTAGAATATCGTGGATCAACCGAGCCCGAACGTCGGTGGATGCTGTTGATACCGGTGGCATATCCACCATTAATATAGAGACAAGATTGATGTACAACCGGTTGTTCCAGCGGAAATTAAATGAGGCAAACTTGGCTAACCGGTTGCACCGGTAGCTCAACCGGTGAATTAAAGAATATACCTATTGTAGGGCGCGTTTATGGCCTCCTTGATTGTCATAGTTTTCTACTTCTCCGTGCCAGAGCTCTATTTTGAGGTTATGTCACAAACATCTATTTGCATCAAATTGTGCTTGCTTTTGAGTTATATCATGTTTTATCAGCCTGAAATTTCCTACAATTTAAAAGGAAAACATATCTTAACAATAGGAGAGCGCTGACGCTGACACGAGACGAGTGTAATCTAGAAATGTTTGAAGGAGAGAAAAGAGTATGACAATCAAGGAGGCCATAAACGCACCCTAGAATTGTAGGGACGACTGACGATACGGGCCTTAGAGATTTTTTCGCCAGATCCCGTAATGAACGGGAGCGGGAACAGATGGAATTTCCCCTTCCTCTCGAAGTTTTGACAGTTTCAAGTTACACCGGGAGTGGTTAGATTGCGCAGGTTGCGCAAAATGTTTGCTTTAAGCTCCTTGATAAACTTAGCTGCCTTGTTTGAATCTGAATTAAATTAAAAAGACCGATAGTTTTTTGTGCAATGTACATATATGTATATATATATATATCAATAAAATGAATCATTTTGATATTACAAATGCGGTTCATATATCTTCGATGACCTTCTTCATCGTCATTTAAAATCAGGTGGACGTGTTCCTCCATTTATGATTTAATAAATTAGCTCAATTTTCAGCACTGCGAAGACAAATTTTCAATTGAGATGCCTGTTTTTAAATGACATTGGCATAAGACCTGTCACCCACAAGTACCTCACGGACGTTAGACGGGTACCACGTGATTTTTTGACATTCGGACGACGCCACATCCGTCTTCGCATATTCCCGTTCTTCGCGAAAATTTAAGTATCGGTCTATCGGTTCCCGGTACTGCACTGTACTATACCGTAGACTCGCGAAAAAATCCTTAATAAGGATACTTTACTTATTTATCAGAAAGTGCTCAAAATTGTCAGAATACATATTTTTCAGAATAAATGGGCTACCTCGTATCCATAGCGTTTCTTAAACCGGTCCCACACGATTTGGCGAATGCTTTCAACGCTGGACGCATGTCCATTCGCCACATCGTGTGGGAGAGCGCTGACGGATTATACGTGGCCAACGTTCGTCACATGGCACTTTCGGGCTCTTGTCGGTAAATTTGACCCGCGTTAAAGTACGTTACAATGTTAGAAGGATGGTTCGTTACGTTCCCACACGAGATGTCATGTGTTTGATGGTTTTGGTTAGAACCAGTAGCGGCGAAAAACATTATTTGTTTGTTGTGATTGTGGCGAAGTAGTGGTATGTGGGAAGTATTTTGATCTGAATACCTACTTATTCATAATCATGTATGTTCCGTAACTAGCTTTTGAGGAGATTGAATTAAATTAGTCTAGATACAAAGCATAGGCTGCCATAACAACACTTTTTTCATATTGCTAATATTTTGTATGTTTCGCAGGGGAGTTATGGCTGGCCTAAAAGCTGCTACACACAGTGCCGGCAGCAATGCCGCCGGGTTTATGCCGAGCGGCTATGCCGCCGGCAATACAAGCCGCGCAAAGCCGTCAAGCATCATTCCGGTTGTGACAGTCACATAGAAAGCTAGTGAAGTGCTGCATTTCTGGGATTCCATAATATATCATTTTCGTGAAATTTTTCAATTAAGAGCAGCACAGCTTCGTCGTCCCAATTAAACGACATTTTAATTTGTTTAAACAACACTACCGCTCGAATGCCAGGAACGAAGTGCCGCCGGCAAGCCGCGTAACCTGCCGGCACACCACGGCGGCTCCTTTGCGCGGCAAGGCCGGCGGCTTTGTATGCCGCCGGGTGTATTGCGGCTTAGCCGGCGGCTTGCTCGGCAGCACTGTGTGTTGCAGCCTTACGGATATCTATTTTAGTAAATTATAAATTATCAGGTGCTTACAGTTGTTTCATTATAAAGTTCTATTGCAATGCAAGACTAGTTGAGAGATATATTAACTTGCATTTCATAACTTAAAGAAAATTATCAAATAACTGATAACTCTGAAAGTACTATCAGGATTTTGATGAAATTTTGACCCTAGGTTACTATTATGAAAATGACGAAAAAGTTGTGCAGTTTTTGAAAATCGGTACAGTGGAAGCGGAGTTATCGTCGAAAAACAAACAAAAAAAAACGGTCAAACTTCGTTTTTTGACATTTCTGAGGCTTCTGACAGACTTAAGTTTTGGTCGTTGAAGACAGATCTGAAATTATTTTTCGGCGCTCGAAAAAACAGTTTCATCGTTCATTTTGTATAGTTTTTCCTTCAGTTGTAAAGGTTCAAGCGCGACACTGACACCGATAATAGACGTTCGCGACACCATGCGTCGAACGTCCTAGACTAAAAAGTTCATCCCATCGTGTAGGAGACACACTTGCCAATTGTGGGGTGTCGAATGTTTTACACAACATTGAATACAACGTTGGCAGCATCGTGTGGGACCCGCATTATAATAAATACAATGTCCACAGGTCAGAAAATAGTAGGCTGTCATCAATCAGCATCAAGATCAAGTATCATGCCAAGCAAACCTGCTGTAATCTGTTCTACTATTATTTATCGTTCATAAAAATTAAGTTTTATCAAAAACATATACCTGCAGATTCTAGCGGCCAGATATCGTATTATAAATGGTATTATAACCTCAGATATTGTGCGCATTCTCAGTAGCTGGTACTCGGTTCAATCATTGCGCATTAAGCCCTCAGTCAGGCTTCAAGTTATGGGCTCGTTTTTTTTTTTCGCATTTCGCCCGTTCCCCTGGAATATAGGCTCCATGATTTTGTGAGAAAAACTTTTTTCGTCGGCATTCGTTATTTGCTGTCGCTGACAGAAATAACGTAACGGAAGGCTTAAGCTGGCAACGGACGGTGAGCGATAATATAATACATATTATATCCTGCATATTACAGAAATATCGCTCCATGTGTAAACCTATTGAGATGCCACGCACGGACGCTATAAGATATATTTACATCCCAGCGATATATTACGTATCTGTCGGGATATGCTTACCGAGCGATATTATGCACTATATCGCGCTACATCTATTCCCCTCTTACGTGGTCGCGTCACCCGAAAATGCCCACGAAGCGCTCTTGCTGGCAGCCGGCTTGGGGCGATGCTGCTATTTTCTTACTTGTTCTTGCACTTAGGAATTCGCAACAGACAAAATGGAGTATTTTATTGAAAGTGTAAGAAAACATCCATGTTTATGGAAGGTACACTCGAACGAGTATGAAAATAATGAGATTAAAGAAGCAGCTTGGAGGAATATCATCGCTGATTGCGATATATCCGACGGTAATAGTAGGGAAACCCAAGAGGGGAGTTTAGGATTTACTCAAGCGCGGCAGATTAATATATGGGGGATACCTTGTTAATTAAATACACTGCGTACAGCAAAGATCAGCAGATCAGCCTACGCACAGAAATGCTGAAAAATCGGTAGGTTCGGCACCACTGCTAGAAAAATATGAAAATATATATATTCTGTAGTCCGTAGCAGTCATAATATAATATAATATTATAGCGTATTATACGACTATAATATATATTATATTATCGCACACCGTCCGTTGTCAGCTTTATACTCAGTCTACATTAACAATCCACGTATTTCTCCATGAATTGAGTTCATGGCCAAATTTCAAAAGTGTGAAACAGGAATTTAACGTCAAATAAATCCATGAAGTTCTTCTTGGATTTATTGGCAAAATTAGAATAAATTTGTTAATTTTTGTCAAGTTACGACAAATTCCATGGTGCCAATCTTGTTTTTCTTAGTATATTGAACAGATTTTCAATTCAAGTATACTTTGATAGAACTACAGTGTATTCACCAATATGGTTTTTCTGTATAAGATTCGCCTCAGAATCAAAACCACATAACTACGATACATATAAGAACTCAAAATGTGTCTAGCAAGAACTTGTTGTAGGGATGTTCCGATCCACGTAAAATATCGATACCAAGTATCGATTCGTATCGTTTAATGGAGTATCGATCAATTCAAATATCGGAATAAAAATATCGATCACATGAGTATCGATACCTTTCGATAAGGAGCATACCCTATACACTACTGAAAATCGAAGTTGCCTTTTTTACAACCATCTAAATAACGTCACTTTTTTTCAACTGCATGACGATTGTCAAATATGTTCACAAAAAAAAAATAGGTAAAAAAATAAATACTAAGAAATTCATTACAAAACGATTATTTATTTATTATTAGCATAAAATATATAAACATTGGGTATTAAAAACAATACTACAAATAACTCGAAGTTCGAAATCTTAAAAATACCATTCTTCAGCACTCAGCGAATGTGAGAATAATTTGACATTCGATCGCCAGATAATCTGTTTCGGGTTTGGCAGAGTATATTTCCGGCTTCAGAAAAGTCTCTCTCAGGGAACTGATGTGCCAACAACAGAGAGATATTTATTAGCTAGTTCTTTAAATACCTCTGAGGAAGAACTTGAGCTATTCCAGCACAAAAAGGGATCCGAGTTTAGGGACATAGTAGGTCTATTGAAATACAGCCTTAGCTCAAGATCAATATCTGATTTGGTATCATCATATTTATCTGTATAATTTTGGGCTAGTTGTTCATGGTAGACTCAAACACTGTCAGATTTTTCCAGAATATTAATTTGATTTTGCCCTGCCTTTGCTGTATTTATTTCTTACTTGCGCAACTGAAATGATTGATTCAGGAAGGTGACTGCATTAGCACAAGAAATTGGACTGTTGAACTGCAATCGTTTAAAACGAGGGTCTAGGATATTTGGGACAACTAAAAGTTTAATTTGCTCGATGCTCCCAGAACGTTTTAAAAGTTCCTCGAGTGTTAGTGTTTTAAGTGCTAAAGCCTCTGTTGTTGATGGAGTAAAATTTTCAATTTGTTTCAAGAAGCAATTTACAATGAGTATAACTTTACTGCAGGTTAAATGGTTCTCCCCACACATCTCTCCAGAAACTGCCTCTACTGGGGCTAAAATATTTAAAACCTCTTTTAACAGTTTCCAATTCTAAAGCGCCTAACATTTCTGGAGACTTGGGATTTCTTATTAAAATAGCAGCCACATATTCATGGAGTTTAACAAATCGCTCTAACATAAAATATTTTGAATTCCATCTGGTTGGCACTGATTGAATTAGTCTAAGGGCGTTTTGATGCTGTTGCGCTTTTCTTAACTGATCTGATGCTGCAACACTTTAATCAAATTCAAGCGGATAACCAAATGGAAATGGTATTTACCATTTTGGGTTGGTATTTACCAATCCGTTCAAGCGAGTGTAGTTATCAGTTTGTTTATAAGATCCGTGACGTCACGAATCAGCTGTTATATATGTCATAGTTATCACCGTAAAATTGTGGTATTTACCCAACTCAAGAGTAGTTTTATATTTCTGGTTATTATTTGAAATGTGACAAGTTAGAATTTTGCCGGGTATTGGATATTGTTATTGTACTTCAGCTTCATTTTTGAGAAAAATGATACAGGCTGACTTCAGTTTTACCATAAAGTGGAGCACCTTATTAGTTATACTCATTACGGTTGTTGGGGGCACTTTAAATGTAGTTCCTATGCTTAACAAAGTATCCTGTGTAGCCATATACCACAAGAATATTAAAATATGGCCATATAAACTCACTAGATGATATCCACCTGTATACGGTTTTGCTAATTTCTTTTTTCATCATTTCTGCTGAATCAATAAATGTTTTCTTTGACATGCGGAAAAATGAAAGTTATCATAGCCACAAAGCCATGGTTCCATCATTAAAAAAAAAATCTGAAAAAACATTTCTCCCATGAATAATATGAAAGGTTCCTTATTTAAACTTTCCATATACAGTTGTAGACGAAAAAGCACCGATTATTAAGTGATAATAAAAATAATCAGAGATTATATACGCGCTTTTCTAAAATAAACAACTTGCAACAAAACCGCGGTTAAAACCAACGCGTTCAAGCGATTCGTGTAACTGACGTCATCAACCCGTGTGTCATCTTGAACCATATTATAACCGCGACACATAACACAGAAATTTTGGTTATTCGCTTGGATTTGATTCAAGTTTGAAATGTGTAACAGACATATGACACTAATGAGAGCGGTAAATTGAAACTGAATTGCCGCAGGAAACAGGAACTCATAGAAATTCGAAGAAGAAACTGATTTGCCAGACCATGGAAAATAGATCATTTTGACACAAATGGTGAAAAAGAGATTTTTTTGTCTTTCAGTTTTTATTTGAGAGCAGTTTTTCTTTTGGATTGCTTATTTTGGCAAATCGTAATGGCCAATTTCCACTATGTATGAAAATCCGTCGTCACGCTCTAGAAACTCTGTGTTATTTCTGTCACGCAAGGTTAACCAGAACCTCTGATCAAAAAAAAATGCCTAAAGAAGGGAAGTAAATTGAAGTTAGTCACTCTTTCTGACACAGCTATATGAAAATATCGGGTATCGGAGACAAAAGTATCGATACTTCTAAATATCGGATCGTATCGAACATCCCTAACTTATTGTGTGTTTGGCAGCGCTGTCTACTGTCAGGTAATTAATGAAGTTGTCCATGAGTCCATGGATGTAAACAGGAAACACGGCACAACAATCAGGATGACGAATAAATCCATCTGAATACAGTGTATAAATAATATTGTTTTGCAATAAATATATTCGTGAAGAAATTGTTGATGTGAAACGGATATTACAGAAGACTTTTGTTGCTCTAAAAACTCTATTTTTGTACTTGCATTTGTTGAATGGCTGTGAAACCAAGTGAATAAACAATGGACTTGTTAGAAACTGTGCTTCGTACATGTGAAGCAGAAAAATATATACAGGACTTCAAAAATAATAGCATAGACACTTTTTCACTTAAAATTTTAACTGAAGATGACCTAAACTTAGTTGGTATAGATGATGCAGAAAAACGGAGAGATCTATTAAAACATATCAGTAACTTGCAAATACCCACAGAGTAAGTTAAAAATACAAGGCATCTTAAAAGTTTGGCCTTACCTTTTCAGAAGCTATTATGTTTGAAATAAAACTGTCTTTCAAAACGGCAGTGAAAGCATAAAAAAGAAGTTAAAGAAATACTCAATAATTTGATCAGGAATTTCAAGTACTGCCCAGTCACCTGTTTTCCTTGTGAATACTATTGAGTGGTCACTATTTGATTCAAAAACTCAAGTTTGTTGACTTCTTCCTAAGCTTGCAACATTTGGGGATGTCTAGATCTTTTACTGTATTCACATTGATCGCCTTTGCATGATATAAACAAAACTATGCAACTTGGGATGAGAGAACATCAATAGACTCATGACATATCAGTAGAAGTTTGATAAGCTAGTTTAACATATACATACATAGCATGGTACCCAGTTGGGATAAAATCGGTAAAGGAAAGTCTGAACTTTAAGGATACCCATATATAATCTATATTTCCATTATATGGATATGAGATCTCTTTCAGGAAAAAGGTCAACATTGTCCTAGACCAAACATTTATCTCGCTTGTACTGAGTCAGATATCTGCGCAACTTCACAGACACCATGCCAATATAACCTATGCTTATAAAAGGAGTGATGTAGATCTCTGTGACATAAACTTAGTGCCTGCCATAGGAACATTACAGACCCTATTAGACTCATTAGCAAAGAAAGTTCAGTTATTAGAATCAAAGGTAGGTTTGACTGTAATTTTAGATATCATTTTTGTTAACAGTGACATGTTACAGCTTGTCCAAAAGAAGAGAAAGAGACATTTGGATGTATTGATTCCCTCAGCAGTATTAACAGCTTTAGGGTTTATTATGTGTGTGAGGTGTTTCAAAAACATTAACTAGCAAAATAGATTAACATTAAAAAAAAATGAAAAAGTATTAGTTGTAAAATATGTTTATATGTTTTGTACAGAATGGTTTTGTATTTACACAAATATTATAAATAGCAGCACAATCATCAATACACTTCTTGACAAAATATACATTATTATATGAATTCTTCGACAGTTCCATTTTTCCTCGTAACCTTCCAATAATTTGTACTATTGATTCTTATACTGTTGTCCTGTTGGAGTCTCCAGCCAACCTATTAACTAGCTGAAAAGATGTGCCTGTATCAAAAACTCAAAATACACAATCAAAAATACTTTTGCAGAAGATTTATCTAACAAGGATTCTCAGTGTTTCGAAATATCAAAAAAGCGCATTCCTATTATGTCAAAATATGAAAACGTATAAAAAAATGCTATTTTGTGTTTGTTGGTTTGCATTTTACCCTGATAACAGTTTTTATGTACGACTGGAGAGATGTTTAATGCATTCCTCAAAAGCTTCTTCAGCGAAATAATTGTCTAAATCTGAATGAATCAATAATGTGATAATCACTACAATATTTTTTGCCTTGTTATTTATCTTGCACACTGCTTTTGATAATGGATAGCCATGCTCACATAGTGAAAACCAAATGCCACTGACGAGAGAGAAGCAGGAGAAGGATGCATATGCGTGTGTTAGAAAGAGATAGAAGCAATTCATTGCCTAACAACCCATATTGAACCCTTCTTGCCCTTCTCTCTCAGATACATAACAGTGTCAGCCAAATTTGAACAGCAAGTCATGTTGAAAGGAAAAATCTCGCAATTAGAAGTATACTTACATTGCTGATTCCTGGCAAATTTAATAGTGTGCCTAGAAGTGGTACCCTCCTTAAAAAGTTTATGGCAACTGGGAAGAAACCACTGAAAAAATATACAGGGTGTTTCATTTTATTGTTGCATAACTTTAAGATTCGATTGAACTTTTAAAATTAATGCATAAAGTCAATATAAACATGGGTCGAAAAATGCGTGGCTTCCGAAATACAGGGTGTTTAAATTTACTTTCTAAAATAGTTTTTTTTGAATATTTCGAACAATATTTGATGTATAACTGTGAAAATTGGTATACAAGGGTTTTTTGGTACGACAAAACGAACCATGGGCATAGTTTTACTGTAGCCGCTAGAGGGCGCTCTCTACTGTACCTGTAGTGTATTAAGATGATCGAACATTTGTTCTTAGTGCAATTTTTTGCTTTTTGAATAAAAAAACTGATTCTTCGCACTTTTCAACATAAAAAAGCTGCCTTGTGAATTTTTGTTATAGTTAGCCGTTTTTGAGATATTTCGATTTTTAAGGTTCGATGCATTTTTAATTATTTATGATAAAATAACGTTACAAAGTCAGTATCTCGATAATTTTTAGAAGTAGGCTGTGCCTGCAAATATTTTGGAAATTGAAAGCAGAATAAGGTAAACGTCAATTAGTTGACAGTTAGTTTTGTTGTCTGTTGAAACCTGAAACGTTTTCTGCAATTGTGAATGCACGAAATTTAGTTTCTTTTACCGTTTTTTTTTTTGTAAGTTTTATAAAAATGCCATTTTTATTCTCCAATCAAGAGTTAGCGGATATTCATTTTGTGTATGGCTTTGTAAATGGAAACGCAGCAGAAGCAGCCAGAGAATACGCACGAAGATTTCCAAACAGACGACATCCAACTCGCTCAGTATTTGTAAGAGTGCATCGCCAAATAATTGAAAATGGTTTTGGAAATCTCCAAAGGGATCAAAACATAAATGTTCGTCGGCGCAGATTTACCCGTATGATTCTGCGTGAGTTTGATAGAGATCCGACCACAAGTGTTAGGAGAGTTTCTGGTGCCTTGGGAATTTCAGCAAGCCATGTTCACCTTGTGCTTAGAAATGACCATAGACGTCCGTACCATTTGCAACCTGTGCAAGGACTACAGCCAGGGGACGGAGAACGAAGAATCACATTTTGTGGATTCTTGATAGAACTGATAATAATAGGGAGTTTTTAAGTAACGTTTTATGGACCGATGAGTCATGCTTCACTCGACGTGGAGTGGTAAATTTTCATAATCAACATATTTGGTCGCATGAAAATCCGCATGCAGTTCGGAAAAGAAATTTTCAGCATGAATTTAGTGTGAACGTGTGGATTGCTATCTACCGTAAGCGACTATGTGGACCCTACCTTTTGCCTGCAAGGTTAAATGCTGCGACCTTCTTGGAATTTTTAAAGGCTGAACATGCAAATATGTGGGATGATGTTATGTTAGATTTAAGAAGATTGGCCTGGTTCCAGCTTGATGGTTGTCCAGCTCAGTATTAGAGAATAGTTAGAAACTGGCTGGACGAAAATTATCCAGCCGTGGAGGACCAGTTGCCTGGCCTCCACGATCCCCTGACCTAAATCCATTAGATTTCTTTGTGTGGGGATTTCTAAAAGAAAAAGTGTACCAGACTCCTGTAACCACAAGAGATATGCTAATATACAGAATCAGGAATGCATGTGATGAAATAAGGCCTTATTTTAATAATGCTATACCATATTCGATCATTTGTAGATGTGAATTGTGTATTGAACAATTGGGTTTACATTTCTAGCAACTACTTTAGATTTTGTATGTTTGTCCTAACTATCCAATAGCATTTTAGTTGTAAATAATTAATATAATTTGTTAAAAATAATATTGGAAAATTAAACAAATTAATATTGTTTATTTGGGGTTAGGAATTATTGCTGTGTTTAAAAACACAATCTAAACGATCATCTTAATTACTTGTAATGCCCAAATCAAAAATGAAAAAAAATATAATTTTTCCATAAATAATTAAAAATGGATCGAACCCTAAAAATCGAAATATCTCAAAAACGGCTAACTATAACGAAAACTCACAGGAGAGCTTTTTTATGCAGAAAAGTGCGAAGAATCAGTTTATTTATTCAAATAGCAGAAAATTGCACTAAAAAAAATTTTTCGGTCATTTTAATACACTACAGGTACAGTGGAGAGCGCCCTCTAGCGGCTACAGTAAAACTATGCCCATGGTTCGTTTTGTCGTACCAAAAAACCGTCGTATACCAATTTTCACTGTTATACATCAAATATTGTTCGAAATATTTAAAAAAAAACTATTTTAGAAAGTAAATTTAAACACCCTGTATTTCGGAAGCCACACATTTTTCGACCCATGTTTATATAGACTTTATGCATTAATTTTAAAAGTTCTTTCAAATCTTAAAGTTATGCAACAATAAACTGAAACACCCTGTATATCTAGAACTGAATTAATTTTGATTAAAAAATAATTACAAGTACATACCTGAACAATAAGAAAAAACCATACAATTCTGCTAATATCCCAAAAAATGTCCATCCCATAAGTACAAGGATTACACCACCAAAGAAAGCAAGTGACCCTCTGATTTTGTGTCTTTGAAAGAAAAAACTGAATGCTCTTCGACCTCCAGTAACTGCTGTTAAACCACTTATAAATAAAATCTGGAAAACAGTTTAAATAAATTTAATACTATTTTGTATTTTTTTTTTAGAATACATGAAAATGTTAAACTTGAATATTTTAGAGTAATCTACTTACGTTCCCTAATGCTAGTAAACTCCTATCTAATAGTAAAACTATGCCTAGGAATATGAAGAATATGCCAAATCCTGCTAACCCAACACCAATTTCTGAAATGTCATTAATAAAAAAAATGCTCATTCATTCATTGTGTGCCTTACTTTGGGTATCTGTTACTTCGAACATCTTTTCAAAGTATGTGGTATTTACTGTTTTCAAAAAATTGTTTAAATCATAACCTTTCGTGTACTTCCACGTCACTATAATAGACTTAACAGTTCAGTTTCATAGTTTATACGTTCAGTGTATGTAGATTGTAAAGTTTTGGAATGATTTGCCCTCACAAAAACAACATTTTGTATTTAGTCTACCTAAAATTCATGGAAAATTTAAAAATACGGGAAAATCATTTATTTTGACAAGAAGCTAAAACCTAAAACCGCAAAACAGTTGACATGAATGACCAATGACAGCGCAGTGACAGTAATAACATTACTGGCATGGAACAGAGATATATATGATATTATTTTCGAGTCGCCTACTAAAAAGTATATATATCCACCATCTTTGCTCCTACATATCAGTATATATATTCTATTTTTAAATGTAAATCATTTTTGGACACAAAACGAATTAATTCAATAAAATTTACTGGATGTAGATATAAACCTTTTTTAATATTCGTTTATGTTTGATGTGAGCGTGTAGAATTTCATATTTACAGAGAAACATGGTGGTTAGAAAATAATTTCTTAATTTTCATGTTTGATGTTTAATTACTTTATATGCTTGATTGGCAGTCCAATTCTATTGAGTATACAAGATGGCCATCTAGTTTCAAGTAGCCATATCGATTAAAAAAAAATATTCGCATGTATCACAGATTACTCAAAACGTTCGCCAATAGATAGAATCTATATCAATCTCGCATTTAAAACGTTCTTGTTTTTAATTTAAAACTATTCGTTTTATTATTATTCATTAATTGAAGTTAATCCTTAGAATAGAACAACTTTCATTGTTGAACCTCTTCATAGGTATCTATTGTGAAATGAATAGGTAGGTAAGATTTACCAGCTAAAGCTATTTACCGAAATTCTCAACTGAAAAAATGTGTAAGAATTAAGAATAAATAAGCATCATCCTATGCCTACATTATTGCATTAAAAAATGTCTTTGGTCTTGGGTCAACGCCCAGGCAGTGGAAATGCACCAGTCATAGGCGTAGCAAGTTTTGTTCGGATACAGGATGTTAAATTATAATTTCAAAGTCGAAACAAAAATATCTTTGGAAAATTTTGCATATGAAGTAGGCACTAACAGCATAGACAATATATATCTACAAAACTTTTCCTGTCTAAGACTACACCAGTAGTATAGAAATTGTTAAAGCTTGACTCCTACAAAAAAATAAATCTATTTTCCACGCTAGTTGTACTCAACTATATCTTTTGTAAATCGTATTATTATCATTATATTCTAGTATTTATATAAATTGTTTATGCTTATGATTTATCATCTGTTCTGTAGCCTGAAATTACCTCCATTTCAAAAAGAAAACATAGTCCCACAATCAGAGCTCACAATAGAAGAGCTCTGACGCTGACACGGAACAGTAGGAATCTAGAAATACACCAGAATTTCTGAAGGAGAGAACAGACTATGAAAATCAAGGAGGCCATAAAGGCGTGCTACAATTTGTAACATAACCTCAAATTAGAACTCTGCCCTTAGGGCCCGTTCCGTATCATCAGTCGCTCCTGCAATTGTAGGACGCCTGTATGGCCTCCCTTGAGGCTGCGATATTTCTCGTTTTACCTGTTTCGTGTCAGCTCTCTCCTATTTTGAAGTTGTTTTTTTTTTAAATTCTAGGAATTAATAAATAAAATATAACAAATAAAACAGATGATACAAATCAAAAGCATGAACAAGTTGATGCAAACAGATATTTGTGACATAACCTCAAAATAGAGCGCTGTCACGGAAAAGTAGAAAACTATGACAATCAAGGAGGCCATAAAGGCATCCTACAATTATTGTAGGAACGACAGACGATACGGCCCTTAGTTTATACAGTGACGGGTACGTCAGTGGACACATCGACAAACATTGCATCAAGACGGCCCTTAATGTTTCATTTTAGGGCATACGTTTATAGAAACTTTTGACCGTCCTGTATTCGCTCGTATTAGAGATTTACAATTAATAAAAACGACGAGATTTTGGGTTCCCATCATTACGATATAGCTATATTAAACGAACCGAGATCCTTTTAGTGCTTCTCTATCTACGTCACTGGCTTATATCTTTTAGGGTGGGGTCCACTGCATGTGCATAGTAACACGAAGGGTGGGGGGTGTAAACGACTCGCGTCGCCTTTGCCGAGCCGAAGAGTGACGTCACAGACGCGACTCACCCAGCTTGCTTGGCTTCGACTCGCGTTCTGCCACTCGGGTTTTGTCTTGTGTGTAGTTGTGAGAGTCGATCTCTGTCTATTCATACTCACGTTATTTGTTGTGTTTAGCCGTTTAGTTGACTTGTAGTGTGCCGTTTCGTGTTCTGTCGGTGTTCTTTAAAGTATTTTTACGTAGAAAATGGCAACGGAAGTCGAGAATAACGTCCCCGAGACGAAAGAAATCAAAGAGGAGGTGGCCGCAGACAACAAAGCCGAAGAGGCTGCTGGTAAACAGGAGAATGCCGGGGACGCACCCGCTGCCGCTAAAGAGAAGGAACCGGCTCCACCAAAAGTTGTCGTGCATAAAACGAATTATGAAAAGGACATCGTGTATTTGTATCAATTCTCGCGTACTCCCTTACTGCCCTCCCTCTCGCCCTATTGTCTCAAAGTCGAGACATGGCTGAGGCTGGCTGGCGTCAAATACGAGGTAGGCTACTCAACTTTTAGCTTTTTGCTAGCTGAATAGATACTGCTTTGCATGTGTACTTCTTGTTTTTTTCCAGATGCTTTGTTAAGTGATTTGAATCGAAGTATTGATGGTTTCTATGTTAATAATGGCTCAGAGATGGTTTATGTGGGGCATCCGACTGAGCCATTATGCGTCTATTATTTTTTCCTATATTTTTACGCTAGGTATGCAAAGCCCTGCTGAAGAAATAACCATCTTCTGATACACAAAATCAAGTATTATCAACTTTAATATTCATTCATTGTTATTTTTTATAACGGCAATGCAAGAAAGCGATATTTGGTTTTTATCAGCTTGTTTTTACCAAGCAATTTGGAAGTCAGCGCATGTTGGGAAAAAATCAGGAGAATCGAGAGGTTGACAGGGAAAGTCACTGCAAATTGGTTGTTCCTGTTCCAATTTAAAAACAAACAAATATGACCTAAATCTGATACAATATACATACTAGAGACATTAACACCGAAAATTGTTTCTTTACCTAGGCAGTTTCATTGAGATATTGTTTAAAATACCTCTAAGTTGTTTAGAGAAGTGAATGGTTGATAACATCTCCTAACATGTTATCCATTTATGATAATAGTATATATCCATTGCCCAAAATTAGAAATGTTAAATATTCTGGACTAAGCATTACATCTGTGGACAGAAAAATATTTAAATCAATTTCCCATTGGGGTTTCCCATCTAGACATGCTTTCAAATATTGATTGCTTTCGGCTAATTGAATGGCTGTAGATCTTAATTTTTGTTATGCTATCAATATATAAACATTGTAATGAAAGTTTTAATAATTCTATAAAGTACCTGGGCATAGTTCAAGGCGTGATTCCTTGGCTAAATTTTAAAAGCTTATATGAACACAAGTCTGGTAATGCGTCGTTTTCAACTGTCAAACTTCCTTGAATATCCTTTTTCTAATTGTAATAATGCTCATCAGGTATTGTTAAGGTTTGTTTAAATTGATTGTCGAAAACTAGATTTAAACTTACTTAAGAAAAACGCGTCAATAAAACCCAAAGCCTCCAAAGGGAAATATTGAATTGATTTAAATTCAGTGTATTTGACGCCTATCAAAATTCGGGATTTTCATTTTGAACAAAGCAATAAACTGAAATACAAAAATTTATCACTGCACTCACAATTGTAATTTACAAGTTGAAATGTGTTCAAGTATGAAAACCTTCAACTTGATTGTATTTCCTGAAACCTAAAGGGCTCCAACTTTCCATCCCAATAATTTCCCATAATGTTCCCATCATCTCGTTTCTGACACAAAACAGATATATGATGTGTGAAACATCTGCTGCCCTCGGGATAAAAAATAGGAGCCACTGGATTTTGAAGATGACAGTATGTTAAGAGCCCACACATATGTACATTCTTTGTAAATTAAGAATGGTTGACACAAAATTGTCTGCTAGCTTCACGCGAATGCTCCGAAGAATTGGCTGCTAACTTCACACCAGGCTCTGAACACATGTTGCATCTTAACTAATCCTTTATTAATTAATTCAAAATGCGAGAAGTAGCCCAAAAGAATTAAGTATGGAAAAGTTCGGGCACCAAGCTTTCTTGCTGTATTCAGTTCTATACTATAAGCGATTAGCCTATAAAATACCAAAATACATTTGCATTCTTCCCAAATTATTTTGGACTACTTCTGGAGTTCTGGAATTATGGTGGAATTAACGTTATACTTAAATTATTAGTGTAAACCTGGTCTGCAAATTGTTCCTAAATCTGGGCAACATATTGCATTCCGAATGAACCAAGAATTAACCTGTGTACAGGCTCTAAAAGAGAAATATTCAAGTTGTGTGATGCAGAAGAAAAGATTGTCCACAAGGATTAATGTAAAGAGATAGCTCTTACATTCGGAATTAACTGCGCAAGTGGAATCGAGAATTACGAGGTCTGTAAATTAAGTGATCAGACTGTCTTTTTTCTTTTTTTTTATTCAAAGATAATTACAATTTTATATTGTCACCCTCAAAATAACTGGTACTTCCACTCCTCATAGCAATGCTAAAACTCTGATACTGGAATAACCTTCACCTGGTCTCTCCTTGTATAAATATATTTGCCGCTCAGGAAGTATGTATTTCACGGAAGCGGAAAGTACTTTGCGCTCCTAATACTAAAATTAGCTCCAGTGTTGCTTACCCCATCCGATTGAAAAACCTGTATATGAGCTTGAAAAAATCTGTAGATACATAAATGTAGACTATTATTTAAAGAACTGTAAATGTACAGCCTTCCATTTACAATATTTTTCACGAGTCTCTATCGCGGACCAAGGTCAAAAAGTGACAGTTTTGCGTTGATTCAGCAAATTCTTTTTGAGCGGTTTTGGTTCTGGCCGGCCTTGAGTGAGATAAAAATGACAGAATTTCCATTCAGATTTTTCCAAATTCACTCAAGGCCAACCAGAACCACAACCGCTTAAAAATGCTTTTTACATGCATGATCTGCTGTCATTTTTTGTCATTATTCCACATAAGGTCAACCAGAACCGCTGCCAAAAGAATTTGATTCCTTATAATTCGATCTGGCAAGTGGTAGATTTTACCAAGATGGACTATCGACTTCGTAGTAAACAAAATAGATGGCGCGAGCATCTTAAACGAAAAACTATATTTGAAGGTCCGAACTGAAAACTTGGAAGATTTTTGAAAAGCTGGAAATCTACAGTTATAACTGTAGGGTTGGCAACACTGATTAGCTCTGAAATATCGCTTGACTGTATCTAATAGCATACACCTGAAGCCCGTGATATCGTCTTTCTCGGATTCTATTAGCGAGATAGGGTTCATAACTGTGCTGATGATGATCGTTTGTGGCAGCATCAGTCTCATAAAGATAAGAGGAGAGGGGTATAGGACCAAGAGCAGGCTGAGTGTACGACCGTGACCGGTCGTCAGCATACGACGGCGACGCCTGCCGATCCCTCAAATCTGCACCACATTCTGCTTCTTGCTGTTTCTCGTTTCTGCGCTAAAGACAATCATACGCGCTACGGTTAATCTTACAGTCTGTCACCTTTACCTATACGATCACATCCGCCAGACAGTGTTGCAACATTTGGATATTTTCCCCCAAATTTTGGGGATTTTTACTTCCCTTGGGAATTTTTGGGGGATATACCTAATGTTCGGAGAGATTTTTTGGGGGAAAAATAAAATCCTGAGGTATTTTACTCCATTTTTCATCAAGCAAAACTGACCATTCCTGGATACAAATTTTATTTTTCTGCAACTTTTTCTTTCCTCATAGTCGCACCATGAAGACTATGTAAATATATGAGTATGAGGTTGAAATCATAGAATGGGAGTGAAGCCAAAAATTTCGAGAATTTATTTTAACAGTGAGGAGATCTGACCAAAAGAAACGTTTTTTTCCTTTAACATTTTTGTGGTAAAATTAAAGTAACAAAGTTATAGCCCTTTAGAAGTTTGAATACCGCCCTGTCTCAATAATAATATTATGTGCTCGTGTTAGGCAACAACGGATATAATCCGCCTTATCGGTTCATCGCATCGGAAACAAAAATGCGAAAGAATTTGAAACGCTTATCACGATGTTTTTACTACAATTTTATTCAGTTGTATTCAGTCAATGTGTCAGTCGGTAACGCGTGAGTGTATAGTGGTGTTTGTTGCGTGGCTCAAACGAAATAAAAAATGGCACATGTTTACGAAAATGCTGAACTTGTGGACATGATTCTTATTTACGGGGGGGGGGGGGAGTCTTTGCTAACGTAGTACAAAGGGCTCGTGAATCAGGTGACTTAAGACCTCACAGAAAAGGGCATGCCGGTGCTCCAAGACCGCACGATCAAATACAGGTCCGCACTGAAATACTTGTCGGGAGGATACTTTATAAAACATTTTTTTTTTATTTTTACACACATATTTTGGTTTATCTTCCTTCTACAATCATTATCTGGAAATTAATGACTCAACTTCAAAGTTGTATTATAGCAATATATATAGTGATTTTAAAGGTAGAGTCATTTATGTAACAGCTTGTAGAACTCATCAAAAGAAGTTGATATACCAAAAATCGCCTATATAAAAGTTGCATAACAAGAGAGTTAGTTTACATTTTCAAAAATGATCCAAAAAAAACATTATCAAGTTAAATGGAGTTTTCACAAAAACTGTTCAAAAGTGTCCCCATTTCTTCGATTAACGCAAATCCTTGCTCGGCGAATCCACGACTCTTTACAAGCTTCGAAAATGAAATTCTGGTGTCCACGAATTAAATCCCAAGCATTTTCAGTGCCCTGTTGAAGTTCTTCCAGAGTATTTTTTGTAAATCTTTTAAGTTAACCGAATCCCAAGAATTTATAACTGACAATTCCCTGAAAAAAATAGCGTCAAGCATATTAATTATAAAATTATAAGGGACTATATTGGGCACAAATCTTAGGAAAACATTCACCACGATCATGTGTAACGAAGGAATTGAATGGATCATACAATCAGACCATATTCCAACATTGAGATCTAGCTTAACGCCTGACCAACAACACCGACCATCCAGCAACGTTTCAATCCTGCACAGGGTTATATTATAATGGCTGAAGGATACTCCCAACCATCCTAAGCACCTGCGCGCGCTCGTTGAGTTGTCCTGTACGCGTACATCGAAGACTTACATACTTTTAAGGTTAAATGTACGGGGAAATCTTTATGAAAGATAATAATAATCATAATCGTCTTTATTGAAACTGTAGAATTCCACACAGAAAAAAAAACGTTGCAAATGGTTGCAAAGTTTGGCAACACGCTACTCTTACACTTACACTTATATGTCTAATAGGTGCGTACCTAGATAATACCTGGGTTATTGCTGGCACCTAAAAATTGACATATACTCCTCCTCATCCTCTACAACCCCCAAAATCAAAATTTTAACCCCTAACATTTTTCTGAAAATGATCAGAAGCGTCTAAAACGTCAAAAAACGAAGTTTGAGCGGTTTTTATGTATTCGTAATTTTTACTTAGCTTCACCGTCACCGCACTGATTTTCATAATCTACAAAGCTTTTTCTCGATGTGCATGTCACAAACATCAAAAAAATATCTCATTTTTGAAATGTTTCGCGATTACAATTCTTCCTCACACATGGCTTAGGAAGTAAAAGTAACAACCAAACCAATTTAAATGGTAAAGGTCAATGAAGCTGCCCGGTGGATTTCAAAGACATTCCACGCGCTGACCTCTCTTGGTACAACTAATTTCTGGTTCAACTGTTCAGGCAAATCTGTCAGGTATTTCCTAGCGTGTATGACTCGCTTTAGACAACATCTGCGACCGCCGGCCGCTCTGGCCATCCCAGCTTATAATCTATAATTTGCTTGGTTATGGTTACAGACGTGCAACCGAACATTGGACTTTGGGTGTCATGTCATGATAGTCAATATGTATGACAACGTTCTTGTTCTGTTTGGCTCCCGTAAGGGGAGTTCGGGATTCAACAAAAAATATCTACATAACGCTGATATGAGCTCGTTTCAAAAACTTGCTAGTTTCCCATGTTTCAAGTTTCAAAACAAACAATTTGATCACAAGAAAATTGTTAAAGGGTTGTGCCTGGATCTCATCGTGGGTAATCAAAGACACACAACGTTAGTAGTGGCGTATAACGCGTTACACCAGAGTACCTGGTACCATACGGAACACTCCTCGTACGCCACTGCTAACGCGACTTTGTTTCAACAAGGTCGGTGCGTACGGATCCCACCGGACTATACTCTCTTCCACTCTTAGCTACAGTCCCTCTGAAATATAGGAAGTGTAAAGCCGGTCGCATTCAAGGTAGATTGCTATTTTGCGCTCAAGCGAAGGAACTATTGTAATAGCGAAAAATTTCAAATGTCTGGTGACACATTTTGAGGAAGTATTAACAATATATACATCATCAAAATCCTTGTAGTTTACTTCTGTCACCCTGTCCGTCTGTTGGCGTTTTTCTATTGGAAAACCGCATTTTCTTGGCAACTGCTGCAAATGTGACAAGGAAGCAATGTAATTTCGGTGACGTTCAAATTTGGCTGACGTCGTAATGTGTACGAGAGAGAATCGTGCAATATGCTTATTAACGTCAGTGGTGTTTGGAGTTTTCAGTGTAGAATCACAAGAGGTTGTTGGTTTATAAGCAAAGAACAAAAACATTTCGATTGCTGATAAAGAAGACTTCGTCTCTCTCCTTAGGTACGTACGACGCCAATGGCCGTAATGCCCTTACCGTTCCCGAATAAAACCATCACAGACAGCTAGCTATATATATTCAAAGCTGAGAAAATAATTCAATCAAAGCTAATTTATGGAACGTCTAAAATAAGACACCACACTGCGGCGAGGTATCACAGTGTGATTCAGAATCAGACAGCGTTGCCGATGAACCTGGAACAAGAAATTTAAGCGGAACTTGTTCCGATTTTGTAACTGATGAAATGATAATTCGATGGCTATAGTCTGATACCAAAATGGAAAAGAGTAACATAACAATTCGTGCACCACTAATGACGCTTGTATGACCTTTGAGTCGCGTATAGTCATGAAAACGCTACATACATAGTATCAATCTCCTCTTGGAGGGATCTATCCGAATATGTAATATAATATGGAACATTTCATTTAAAATATTGTTAAAATTTTGCAGGCTTTTTTTAAACCGAATGTCCCACATTTTACTGCACATTTAGATATACATTTTCAAAAGAGTACTATTCATATGACATACTATCACGTTGTGATGATTAGTTATCGAGTCAAATGAGACTTAATGTTCCAAAATGTCCAACTTTGACAGCCTGGCTGTCCGCCATTTTGAAATATATGGATTTTGTTTTAGGGTTATATATTATATATGATTCATAAGGAGCATCAAAATAAGGTATCACTGACCCCCCATTCCATTTAAAAAATGTTACAAGATGGCGCTCAGCCACCATTTAACTTTTAACGGTTACATAAAAAGACCTTTACTAAAAATGGCAACACTGGATTATGAGTGAGCGGTCGTGTTTTATGCCAGCTAGAATACAATCCAAGAGCTTTTTTCAAGTTCATTAGCAAATCTCGTGTAGTGTAGACGGATCCAGCCTTGTACAGGTTGTTGCACTGTGTCTATCTGAAATCATAGTGAATACTGCCGGGAGACGTTTTTTTACTGATACATGCCTCAATGGCCAAGATATTAATCAGATTATTGAATCTGACTAGAAAAATGGGCGCGAGAATCACATTTAATAGACATAGACTGGTGGATCATTAAATTATCATACAGTAGGTTACCAAGATTGTTGCACAGCTTCTTAGGTGATAGAAACGACAACATTAGCGTGTTCATCCTGAAAGTGGTAGCGTGGTGAAATACTGTATATGATGGTGTTCTGTAACAACAGCTTACTTCTTATTTTTTCAGAATTGGCTCCTAATATTGATATTATCAGAGGAGTGGTTAGTTTATATATCAACGCGGCCAAATTACTGATACTTGATGCATGATGTAGTTGGTAGTGATGGGGAGGCGAAGACTGGCAGCTAGGTTAGGCCACCAAGGTATCCACCGATTCGTTTTTCTCATTCTTACTCATTATTTTTATGGGTTACCTATTTTTTCCTAAATACTTATTTTCTCAATACTTTGAAATGTTCCACCGTAAACGCCCAGGTCTGTAAAGTGTTCCATAAGATAGAACAGTCGATGTTTGGTGCGTCGTGGGGGCTGGAAGCACCCCCCCCTTTTAAATTACGATGGTACATCTTCATTCATTTCAATGTCTTGATAAGAGAAGAGTTTCCAAACTACGCCTCCTCAAATACTTATTTTTCTCATCTTTTGAGAGCTCCAGCCTATGGTAAAATTATCAACCCAACCATCATCAAAACTTAGATTGGAAAAAATTATGAAGTTGACTGGTCGGATATTGCTAACGCTCATTGGAAGATCTATGCGGTTTGATCTAAAACTTCGTCATATAGCATATTAATATTTTTCTATAAACTATTTCCCTGTACTCTCATATAGAACAGAATACTCTGACATTTGATGGTATGTATACTACCTGTATGAGTAGTGCGATCCAGATATAGAATCACCGGTGCAAGTGTAAAAATCGCTTTGTAAACTCACAATGCATGAGCTTTTACGCGATTATTATCAGCGTATTATAAACGGAATAAAAGTTTCTTTATGTGAAAGTGAACAGCACTGGTTTCTGCTCCAATTCCCATCACACCGTGCACAGTTTTGTGAATCCGTAACAGATTGGAAAAGTTAAATGTGCAAGCAAGGAAACGAATGTATAAAATATGAACTAAAGCGTATTGGAGAATTGAAATCGATTCAACTTTTCAACAGAATATTACTCATGTGTTTACGCGATTTACTATCATTGTTCTTTTACTTTTCCTTAAATCGATCTGTCAATTTTGAACGCAAACACTCACTGCCTTTAGCAAACGAATGTATAAAATATAAACTAAAGCGTATTCGAGAATTGAAATCGATTCAACTTGACAGCAGAATATTACTCATGTATTTACGCGATTTACTATCATTGTTCTTTTACTTTTCCTTAAATCGATCTGTCACTTTTGAACGCAAACACTGCCTGTATCTACGAACAAAACGCTCGATTTATTCCCACGCCTGCTGGCAGAGGAAGTATTGTAATCGGGTAAGTTTTATGTTTTTTGTATGCTGTATGACATGCACAGCATGAGAAACTATGTCACTCATTTCCGTCGGTCTGTCTGTCGGTCTATTTGTCCAATAACCCTTAGCCCCCCTATAATACGGAAATTACTGCTCAGATTTTGATGAAATTTTGACACAAGCTTACTATCGTGTTAAGAATGGAAAATCTATGTAGTTTTTGAAAATCGATCCTGTAGCGATGGAACTCAGGGCAAAAAAACAAAAAAAATCGCCGAAACTTCCTTTTTTGACATTTCAGAGGCTCCTGCTCATTTTCAGCAATCTTTTTGGAGAAGTGAATAATTGAGTTTAGGTGTTGCAGACGTTAGGGGTTTGCAAACGTTTCGTCTTTGGTATGTATGGAAGTCATTTATTGCTAAGAAGTGATGCATCTTCACAACATTTGTTCCATTCATTTGACGTTGTAATAGTAGTATTTACAAATATTATGGTGGTGCAAGTAAAAATTGATTCGGAAACAATCTTCCTAGGTGAACATATCTAAATGAATTTCGATTCCATTTGAATATTCTGAATAGACGAATATCTTTTTTTCTGTTCATGTGCGTAGTTAACTTTTTGCTTCCAACTCCAATTGGCCCAGTTTAGTATTCAGTGGCCCAAAATTGGTAATCCCATTTATCAAAGACAGCTGATGTTGTACTCATCGCGTTTGTTTCTTCGTTGCAGCTAGTCTTTAGTTTTCTTTATAGATATGCCGCAATGTTGCTTATGTTTTTACTTTTTGCATAATAGGTATGTATTGTTGTATTGGACCATGTGTTGTTGCAAATCTGCCCAGTCTGGTATCGAATGTTGGTTGGTTGTCTATCCGGCAGCTCGGCCGCGTGATAGGGTACGCGATACACTACAAAAACGACGGTAGTTATGAATAGATATCTGTTACGGATGAAATGGTTTATAAGTTGAATCACGTATTCCACTTCCTCGGATGATTAAGGCAGCGAATTCACAATAAAAAAATGCTGCGGCGATAAGGTTCTGTTAGATTACTTGTTGCGTTTCCATAGCGTTTTTCTATAGCCGCAGCTACAACATTCCACCAATGCTACAGTAATTCCAACAGATTCGGTCGATAGTCCAAGAGCCCATATGTATAAATGTGTTTTTCGAAGTATAGATGTAAAATTGAATAAAAAACAGTTGTAAATGTCTCGATTGTCTGTATCAAGGCTTGAAGTGCTAAGATTATGCCATGAAACGATGTCGCGTAGCGACTGATGACGCTGCGATCTGATTGAAGACCAATTTCCGGTCATCTTCTGAATCATTTGTAATACACGACAAATGTTGATATCAAAAGCTTCTGGATTGGTTTATAGAAGAAACCCAGTCATTTGAAATGACCCGCAGAAAATATCCATAGCAGCACCGAATTCTTAAACATCAAGAGAACAATGTTTCAAAATCATTCTCAGAAATTTTTAAACCGGATTAGAGGATAAATACGAAGTCGGTTAAATTAGGGCAAAGCTGAGCTTTTCGGAGATAGATGAAACAAACCGAATTTTATCAAAATCATTTTTATTCTTTCCTGGCTCAGTTTGGGATAGACTTTTAAAATAAAATTTCAATATTACGTTTTGTCTCTTGTCCTCAATAATAAACTTTTTTTTATTATGGACGCCGTATTCGATTTTCGAACAAATGAATAGAGTTTTTAATTCTGATTTCAAAAATTGTTAAGAGTCCTACATTGACATTGGCAAACAAAAGGTATTACAAAAAAAGATTATTTTCATAGTTGGCCTTGAAAATGACAGTCTATCACATGTTTCTTTGATTAAATCACCAATGTTAGTTCGTATAAGTTTAGCATGTTGAAAGCGCTCTACATGACTCCTTAACTGTAGATTAATAGTATTTGATTGTTACAATGTTTCTATCAATTACATAAAATAATAGTGTTTGTAATGTTTCCAATACTACCCTTAAATAATATGAGTTGAGAACAACTGGCCAACTACAGCAATATTACCTTTTTAGATATTTGAAGTTTCATAATATCAATCCGGGTCATGATCTGTACAATATCACATCATCAAAATCGGAACCATGGACTGTTTACTTATGCCTAGTCATAGAAACTGAAGAAACACTTGGTTGATATGACATGATATGAAGCAAATGACTCTGATAATGTTGATGCCTACTTAGGAGGTTTTTTCAAATAACTAAGGTTTGACAATGTCAATGTATGACACATTCTAAATTTTTCGAATCAGAGTTAGAAACTGTATTTACCTGTACAAAAATTCAATAGAGCGTCTATAAGAAAAAAAAAATAAAGTCAACGATCGAGGACAAGAGACAAAATGTCATACTGAAATTCTAAATTTGCCATCTTGTAGAGGAAAAATAGTGGTAGAGTCAACATACCCTATTTTGAATTCCCATCTCAAATAAAGCCAGGTAAAAATAAAAACTTGTTTAGGAATTTTCTTCCCCCGGAAACAGCAGGAATTACCAGCCTTATTAAGTGCAATTTTCTTAGTTACTTATTGAACCCACTTCGTATCTCTTGCTGTTTCCGAGATCCCAATGGCGAGACTCGAATTTTAAATACCCGGTATATTACGGAGAATAGGAACTAACATTGCAAGTTAAAGTCCTAAATTCTGATAATTTGATAAATTAAGTTTGCATATTGTGAACATGTATAATAATTATTGGTGGTTTGATAGCGCAAGTATTTCTTCCACTGTGCCCTACAACCAGCCTGTCAACCCTCAAGTTGGTTGTTGAAGTTTTTTCTAATCGATTCCATTAAATTGGATTAATTGGACATATGCGATTGATATTTCATAATTCTCAAGCTATTTCCGGTACTATAGTCAATTTAATTTATCTACGAACTCTGGTGGCGGTCGAACATTAAAGAGGAATAAATATATATTGATCAATTAAGAGCGTTGCATAATTTTAAATGGACCTATTCATGAAAATAACGTAGCTGCTTCTTCTGAAATATAACCCAGATACGAAGAATCTTTCTGCCGGTCAACCGTTCCTAATGAACTTGTTTACAAGACGCACTTTAAATTTTAAAGCTAATGTTTGAATGTTGAACTGAAATAAATATGGCCAGAGTGTGTGAATCAAATGTTTGCACAAGCAAGAGTACTTACATTTACAATTTGCCAAATTGTACAGTGAGTGTTCTAAGTTTTGAAGCGACCATTTATAGACCTATTCAACCTGAACATTTCGAATAATACATACTAGAAATTGTCAGTGACCAAATCTTGCCGAAGCTTGTAGATGTCACCTGGCTGATAGAAAACATTGGGTTGAGGCATCAATGCATTTTTTATTTAGGGATCTTTGGTCAAATAGGTATGTCGATATCTTTATCAGTGACAGTAAATATGCTGTAAGATAAATGCCTATTTTAATTCCAAAGCCAGGGTTTAGGTTACTTGCATCTTTGGTATTAACGAAATACGTTCTTTTAGTATAATTTTTCTGGCTTTATCTGTAGTACCTTCGATGCACATAACAAACATATTAAAACTCTGATAGGTCCAAAACACTCCAGTTGAATGCCAGATTTACTGCTACCCTCCTCTAATTTTGCTTCCCGTGCTACGACGCCCAACATCAGTAATTAGACTGTTCTTGCCGCAAAGGTACATGTATACCTCCACGCAGGTGCTGGTACACTGCTTTTGCTTTTCTTGTACCATAAGTAATTTAACGTAGCCTTTGCGTGTAGGGGTGGCAATTTGTTAGAAAATATCGTAACATCGATGGAGCTCGATACATCGGAACAAATACATCGATGTATCGAAACAACTATTCTTTTTAACGTTTTCTGCTTTCAATTGAGCAACGAATTCATGGATTGCTATCGGTTTTAGCGGAATGGTCATTTTATCCGTTGGCGGAATTCCCACCGGGTAGGGAAGGTAGGATAAAAGAAGGATACCGACTGCAATATATTTCAGTAAAAAAGTATGATTACACTGATCAACAGCCAAAAAATATCCTAAATAAAATCAACAAAATATTACTATTTTTAATGTGCTAAAACCGGAATGAAACTTATTTTTTCAATATTAGTTTAAGTTTTAGAGATACGGTAATTATATGTGTTCCTGCTGTGACAGTGTTAATATACTGTAATTCACAAGAATGCACGTGCTACATTTTTATATTCGGCAAGGAAAGATGATGTAATCGGCATGATTGTGTTACGTTATACATACTTGTACATTATATTGTTTTATATTAGCCATTTTTTCCTCAGTTGGCTGACAGTGTTCATGCAAGATGTCTCGAAAGTGTGTAAACAATCCAGATCAGTTTTGTTACGTGTGTGGTGATGTGACTTTTGCGTCTCAGAGACGGTCTATTACTCCACTAATAACAAAGGCATATCAGCTTTATTTCGGTTGTAAACTAGGTGATCAAGACAAACAGTGGGCACCCCACATCTGCTGTAATACATGTGCTTCAAGTCTGAGGAGCTGGTTAAATGGCAAAAAACGGTCTATGCGATTTGCTGTCCCAATGGTTTGGAGAGAGCCTACAAATCATATTAATGATTGTTACTTTTGCATGGTACCTTGTGTTGGACAAGCCACAGGTATGTCCAAGAAAAAAAAATCGGTTATTAACTACCCAAACATACCATCTGCGATGAGACCTGTGCCTCACAGTGACGAAAATCCTATTCCAAAACCCCCAGAATCCTACACTTGCGAATCAGAAAACGAATCAGATCATGGCGATCGAGTGATTCGTCAGGAAGAAGATATGCCATCAACGTCAAGAGATCCTGATTTTATACCGAGCACGTCATGCCACCAACCGCACAAAATAACACAGTCAGAATTAAATGATCTTGTAAGAGATTTAGAACTTCCAAAATGTAAGGCAGAGTTACTTGGATCAAGACTGCAGCAGTGGAACTTGTTAGAAGACGATGTTTCGGTATGTGTTTTTCGTAAACGCCACAAAGACATTTTTCAATATGGAGAATAACTTGGTTTTCTGCAGTAACATTAACGGCTTACTGGCGGCTTTAAATATAAACTATAACCCAGAAGAATGGAGATTGTTTATAGACAGTTCAACATTGAGTTTAAAGGCAGTGTTATTGCATATTGGAAATATTTTACCATCTCTTCCTGTAGGGTATGCAGTTCACATGAAACAATCATATGACAATATGAAGTACCTATTGAAATGCATAAAATACGATGAGCAATAATGGCATATTTGTGGCGATTTGAAAGTTGTTGCACTTTTACTTGGGCTGCAGCTAGGCTACACAAAGTTTTGCTGTTTTTTGTGTGAATGGGCAAAGGCACTTCATTACACCAGACAAAACTGGCCTGTTCGTCAATTCCTAGAGCCAGGCCAAAAAAATGTACAGCATATGCCATTAGTAGATTCGAAAAAAATTTTATTACCACCACTGCATATCAAGTTGGGTCTAATGAAAAACTTTGTCCAGGCATTAGATAGAGATGGGTCAGCTTTTCAATACCTGCGTCAGAAATTTCCAAGACTAAGTGAGGCAAAGGTTAAAGAAGGTATTTTTGTTGGGCCACAGATTCAGAATATTTTGAAAGATACACGGTTTGAAAACATTTTAACAGGTATTGAAAAAACTGCTTGGAATGATTTCCGTCTGGTGGTAACTGATTTCGTGGGAAATAGAAAAGCTGACAACTATAAAACCCTTGTCAAAAATATGCTGTCATCGTATCAAAAGATGGGCTGTAATATGTCTCTTAAGATACATTTCCTACACTCACACCTGGACTTTTTTTCTGACAATTGCGGAGCCGTAAGTGATGAGCACGGCAAACGTTTTCATCAGGATATTTCAACAATGGAAAAAGGGTACCAGGGAAAGTGGAATCCTTCCATGCTTGCAGACTACTGTTGGACTCTTGGTAGAGATGCTCCAGAAACGATCCATAAAAGAACAGCAAAAAGACAGCGCATATAGTGATTCTTATAAGTATATGAATCTTGTTACTTTTTTTAATATATCCTTAAAAATAAAAACTTTTTTTTTCTAAACCGCAACTAATTTTTTTATTTCATTGTCATTTTTGGATTCAGCGCCCCAAAATTAACAAAGAAGTGCACTTTTCCCACAAGATACAATTAAAAAACTAAAATTTGTTGTCCAGTGTTATAGGAAACTGCAAGATATGAGATTGCCACAATTAGGAACACATTGATGATCATTAGATACTTTACACTGTGCGTACGTTGAAGAGTGTTTTTTAAAGTACTTCCACACATCACTTTTTCGTGGCATTTCAATTAATTAACAATAAAACAGCGACACTACAACTACATACAATAAAATAATCAAAAGAACCTGAAATCATTAAATGCGTAAATGCGCTGTTTTCAGTTTATTTTATTATATTCCTTGGGGAACAGTCCATGTCACGGCTGTAATGATAATATATTAAACAGCTTTCTGCGCTTTCAACTTAGAAGCTACCAGTTCTCGCTTAGAGATGGTAGCACAGTTAAGGATATACTCGGGGTATACCGATGTTTATGATCCTTTCGATGTCAATACGTCGGTGCCTAAACATCGATGTTCTACGCCCGATGTATCGATGTTTTCGATACATCGATGTATCGTTGCCATCCCTATTTGCATCCTAGAATAATAACAACGGAGGCTACATCACTGGTATCAACGAACGACGTTCCACTCACTATTAAGATACAGTACCGAGCAAAAGTAGAGAAACAAACCACATTACAAATAAAAATCCAGAAAGATTAATTTACTCTAACCCAAAACTGTACACTAAAGTGTTTTATGTATGACTACCTCAAGATAACGAAATGCTTATCTTTGTATACATTCTTTTTTTTTCAATATAATATGGTCGGTTTTTTGTTCAACAAGCAAAAGTAAGAGAAACATTTTGTAAATATTTAGTTTATATTTAGTCCTTGATTAGAATAGGTGTTACTTTTGAGTGTATTTGGTAAAGTGTAGTTCAAAAACATGGCCAGAGGAATGAAATTGAATTTGCAAATAAAAGAATTGATTATTTTAAAATATCGATCAGGCATTAAACAAGCAACCATAGCCAAACAACTGAATTTAAGCCAATCGGTAATTTGCAAAACTATTAAGCTGTTCCGCCTCAGTAAATCGTAAGACTGGTAGACTGCTAAAAACCACACCTAGGATTGATAGGAAAATTAATGGGGTTGCTTCTGTGATCTTCAAATCGGACCCATCGTCAACATTGAAGGAATTATGGACCGGTACAAATACTTGGAAATGCTACCTTACGCAGAAGAAAACATGCCTCTACGCTGGCGTTTCCAGCAGGACAACGACCCCAAGCACACAGCAAAAATAATAAATAAATTTTTTGCAGATCACAATATTAATGTCATTAAGTGGCCCGCTCAGAGTCCAGACCTTAACCCCATAGAGAACCTGTGGGATTTAGTTGATAAAAAAATTCGGACTGAACGTCCAGAAAAGTTCAAAAATAGTGCCGAACTATTTGAAACGATCGAAGTCGCCAGGAATTCTATTCCAAAAGACACAATAGATAGCTTAATTGGTTCTATGAGAAAAAGATGTCTAGCAGTTATCAAAAATAAAGGTTATGCAACCAAGTATTAGCTTCTTTGTATACGACAATTATGTTTTTCCATTATAGCTCGCTGTATTTTCTAATAATAATTGTTAGCATAGTTTTATTAAAGCAGAAATTTTATTTTCATGTTGGCTTTGAATTACATGTTCATTAAGTTATAATAAAACATAAGTGTTTAGTTTACTTTAATAGTTTAATGAAATCTTTAAAAAAATAAAATGTTTCTCCACTTTTGCTCGGTACTGTATATCTGATATTCTCACACATATTTTATAGACTATATCTGTAGCTCAGATCGTCGCTCCCCTTGCATAAGGGCGTATCTCATTTTTTCGTTAAATTGAGATATTGACGGATTCGGCATCACATAGCTCCAGCTTACCATGTGACAAAAGGACGTATCGCTGATTTCACTATAAGTCGCTGCTACATGAAAAAGTTTCGCATTTTCAGTCAAAAATTGTCGTTACATAAAGGCGTATGCCGAGATATGCTAATTTGTATAATGGAGTTGTCCTAAACAGAATCTGTCATACAGGCGTATGTCGAGATGCGCCCGTTTGTTTGACGAAGTCATACCGACCATCGCGTCGACACAGGAGCATCTCATACGGATTGTATTAACCTAACCTAAAAATTGTAAGTAGTTGTATTGATACGCTGTTGAATACCACTAGTTTTAGTTATTCGTATTTGTTGTATTGGTGTAGGAGTTGATAGGTGGTAAGGCACATTGTATTTATAGTGATATTCCATCAAAATGCATGCATGTTTCTTTAATACTTGCAGGTTCCAACGTATATAAGGGATGGATGTATTGGTGAAATGGGAAGATAACACTCTAAATGTGGTTGAGTCTGATAAGTTAGTACCTGTTATAGCAGGGCAAAAGTTTTGTAAAGGCGTAATGGTTAAAATGCTCTACGGCGGTATTTGGTATAATGGTCAGGTGATCGATACAGAAGCAACTTCCACTTCCGAGAGTGACAATGAACCATTATCTAAATATCGTATAGTTAGTATTTCGAGTGACGATGCGCCACTGTCAAAATATATGGCTGTAAGAAATCAAACTCATACACCTGTAGATCAAGACTCAAACAAGCGAGATAGTTATGTGGAACAGGCCTGCGAGGTTATTTCCTGTCAAGCAGAAGTACTTAGTAGTTGTTTTCGTTGCTCTACTCTGCTGTGCATCGACCATTTTCAAAGTGAAGACATATCCTGTATTTCTCACAAAAATCGAGCAAATGAAGATAACATAGTTCCAGTGACTTCACTGAACGTTGATAGGTATGTGGAACAGTCCTGTGAGGTTATTTCCTGTCAAGCAGAAGTATTTAGTAGCTGTTTTCGCTGCTCTAGTCTGCTGTGCTTCGACCATTTTCAAAGTGAAGACATATCCTGTATTTCTCATAAAAATCGAGCAAATGAAGATAACATACTTCCAACGGCTTCACTGAACGTTAATGACTCCATATCAACAATGTATGCCGTTGAAGGTGCCCCAAGAGAAGAGCCAAGACCATCAGTTCAGAAACGTCATAACCAGTCGAAACTTGCAAAAACTCTGAGAAACCAAGGCAACGAATATTACAGCATAAGCAGCAAGAAAATTGAACCAGCGCGGCAGCTTTTAGGTAGATGTGAAAGTGAAACATGTGTGAAAACCGGAAAACAGTGCAATGCGTTTAGTGAAGAAGATAGAGCGGACATATTTGCAACATTCTATGCACTCAGTGATTTACAGCTTCGTAGGGAGTTCATTGGTCGCCGCTGCGAATTAGTTGAAGTCAAACAAAGGACAACTAATACGGCATCCAGAAGAAGCAAAAGTCTTCGGTACTTCCTATCCTTGAACGGAAACAAAGTTTGGGTGTGTAAAAAATTTTTCATCAATACATTATCAATATCAGAAAAATATTTACGTACGTCTTTGTTGAAAATTACAGCAACTGGTGTTATCGAGAAGGAAAGACGTGGTGGTAGGTACAAATCTTTGTCAGATAAAGATAGATAATTGAGGCACTCAGTTCTAGAGCACCTTAATAGATTCCATAAGATGGAATCGCACTACTGTCGGGAGAATTCATCCCGGCAGTATTTATATCCTGATTTAACTTTACAAAAAATGTATGAGCTATACCGAGATGAAAATAAATGGAGACATACGGCCAGCATGAGTACATACGGTTGTGTATTCAAAACTTTGAATCTGTCCTTCCACCATCCCAAAAAGGATCAATGTAGCTTGTTCCTTACCTACAGAAATGCCAATGATGAAGCCAAAATCACTCTAGAGGAAAAGTACAATAAACATATTTCAGAGAAAAAAAGAGTACGTGAAATAAAACACGCATGTAAAAGCAAAGCTATAGAAACAGGTACTCAAAATATTAGTGCTGTATTTGACCTCCAGCAAGTCATATATTTGCCTATTTTAAACGACAGTAAAGTTTTCTATAAAAATCGTTTGCTGAATTTCAATTTCACAATATATAATCTAGCCTCAAAAAACTGCTATTGCTACACTTGGCATGAGGGTATCAGCAAAAGAGGAGCAAGTGAAATAGCAACTTGTGTTTATAAGTTCCTATTGCAGTGCGATAAGCGAGAAGCTAATGTTGCTAGTTTATTTGCAGATGGATGTCACGCACAAAATAAGAATTCTGTCATTGCAGCCATGATGGTCTACTCCATAAAGAATAGCTCAAATATCTCCGAACTATCTTTAAGATTTTTTGAATCCTATCATGGCCAAAATGAAGGTGACTCAGCTCACAGTGCCATAAGCTATGCACTAAAAAAATGTGGAAATATTTGTGTGCCTTCGCAATTACTTCCCATATTTAAGCTGGCAAGACGAAGACAGCCCTATGAAGTTACCGAAATGAATCATGAACAATTTTTGAATTTCAAGAGTGTCGCCAAAGAATTACGTATTCTTACCATCAGAAAAGATAATGAATATCAAAATCCTATCAACTGGACAGAAATGATGGAACTAAGAGTAGCCAAAGATTCGCCTGACATTATATACTTTAAAACAAGTCACCTGGATACCACGTATCGATCAATCTCTTTGAAACGATCGCATTTTGGTGTGCTTGATAACAGTGTACCTCGACTAAATAAGACACCAAGCAAAATCTCTTTAGTAAAACATATTGATTTAGTTTTTTTATGTGAAGGACTAACTGCAGCAGTTAAAAATCCAGAGCATGTGTCATTTTATAAAAATCTAGAGTATGAAAAAAACTGATTAGAATCTTACATGTTTATATCAGTTTTCCTTTTAGATTATAGTTACAGGATTTTAATGTTGAGTTGAGAACATTGTTTTCCTTAAAAGTTGATGTAAACGATTTCTGGTTTGATCTGATAAATGGATGCTAATTTTGTTCCAAAATTTACAGTTGTCAAAGATATATAAGCTAAAGACTAACAGTTTTTCAGTCAGACTAGTCAAATGGATTTTGATTTAGTTATAATTTGAATCCTGATATATGTTGGTAATAAAGATATACTAAGTGACATATAAATCCGAACACCCAGTTTAAATGGTTTTATTTTAATAAAATTTTGTATAAGTACTTAATGAAGCATAATAAGTAAATGATAAAAATTTCAAAATGATTGCACTGCTTTAGAGCCCTTTGACCTTTAATAATGTGTGGATGCACCCTGATGTGCTACGCATTCTCCAACGCGCCTAGGCATGCTTCTGATCAGGTGGTCAATGTCCTCCTGTGGTATCTCATTCCAGGCAACCATCAACTCCTCTCGAAGTACTTCTAGAGTCTGAGGAGGACGTTGCAAATTGAGCAATCTCCTACCCATCATATCCCACACGTGCTCAATTGGGGATAAGTCGGGAGATCTTGGTGGCCATGGTAACAATGTGACATCATTATGTTGAAAGAAGTCTATTGTGACTCTTGCAACATGTGGTCGGGCATTATCTTGTTGGAAAGTTGGATCTGCCAGGGTGTCAAGATAGGGTAAAAGATGGGGTTCTAGAACTTCGTGGATATAACGCTGCGCGTTCATGTTACCTCTGATGAAGATTAAAGGTGACCTGGAACCATAAGCTATAGCACCCCAAACCATAACTCCAACAGTGTGATGAACATGTCTTTCAACAAAAAACTGTGGATTCCTCCTTTCACCACGTCGCCTTCTAACCCTGGCACGACCATCGTGCATGCCTAAAGAAAATCGAGACTCGCCACTAAAGACAATACTGTTCCATTCCTGATCCCAGAGTGACCGTTGTCTGTACCACTCAAGGCGATTACGTCGGTGTTCTCGAGTTGCAGGGAGGACCCAGTGTGGCCGGTATGAAAACAAGCTAAAACTTCTCATTCGTCGGTAAACACTTCGCAAGCCAATAGGTCTTCCGTGTTCTGCAAACCATTCATTTGCAATGGACCTGGTAGTGGAGAAACGGTCCCTTAAGGCCAATAATCTTAGGCGGCGATCTTCACGGTCTGTTGTTCTACGGCGGCGTCCAGTGCCCTTTGCTCTTTGCGTACGGCCTTCTCGAAGCCATGCCTGACAACACCTAACCACAGTGTCTACACTTCTTTGCACTCTAACTGCAATTGCCCGAAAAGAAAGTCCAGCTTCCCAAAGTCCCACTATACGGCCCCTATCAAACTCACTAAGTTGACGAAATCGTACAGGTCTCCGTACTCTAGGCATCGTAACCGATCGTAAAGGATGTCAAGAACCAAAATCCGCCAACGTTGATTTTATACTGCGGCTGAAATATTCATTTTTAGAGCGTTAGTGAATTAAAAAAAAGCGGTATAAAAACCGGAATGTCCAACTGATAAGGCTGAAAATTTTTTCACTTGTTATTTACAGTAAGATAAATACATTCACCAACTTTTATTAAAATAAAACCATTTAAACTGGGTGTTCGGATTTATATGTCACTTAGTATACATCTGGGTTTTTCTTTGAAAGGTTGATGTATCTGGAAAAATCCTTTTAGTTTAAGGTATAATAACTGTACACCGTATATATTCTGATCAAAAATATATCACTTGAATATATGAGTTGTGTCTCGTTTGTTCGCTATGTAGCAAAAAGTAACTTCTAACAATGAGGCGTATCTCATTCAAAGTAAGAGTAGTAAAAAATGCCAAAAAATATGAGTATGCTGAAGTAAGAAGCATATAAAAAATAGGCTACCTTAACCACATAACAAAAATTACACCGCTCACTTGAATATGTTCCGGCTACCACCAATCCAAACTTAAAACATAACTTTGGATGCGCCTCCTGAAAAGTTACAGTTTTTGAGATACGCCCTTATGCAAGGGGAGCGACGAGATGTGAACAGTGTATAAGTCCAGTTTGATACAATTCCTAGTTAATATAAACATTATTTTAGCTTATATCGTAGCAAACAATCGTAAGCATCAGATTGTTGGTGGATATTTGTAATTATAAAAATGTAATTCGATCATTTAAACTTTTGATATATTTACATGATTTGCGCATTAATCGATTTGAGCTGAGCTACAGATATAATACATTTAAACAGAAATGTGTTAGGTTTTTTACAGTTTGAGATGTTGAACTGTAGACTTTTACGATGTAGTAATAATGTAAAATAAACGACATTATTGTACAACAAACATTTATGGAGGCTCGCCTGACTATTGCTAATGATAATATCAGTATCTGCATCGGAATCGAAACCCTAAGAGGTTGACATCCCAAAAAACTCTCATCTGTTGCCTATCCGGTATTCCGAAACTGGCAAAGTACCACTACAATTTTGGTCTAATGTTTACAAAAAGTTGGTACCATGTCAATGGCGAAAAAGCTTTGTGTCTTGGGAATCACTTCATTGGCGGCGGAGTATATGAGCGAAAAACAAAAAAATTCGGGACGTCCCCAAACTTAGTTTTTGTTGTTATTAGAATTTTAACGAGTTCTGGGCGTAATAAAAAAAAACTTCACGAGGAATCAGAATTTTGAAAATAATCTCATACTTTCAGATCACTTGGAGCCAGTCAAAATTTTCCTGTACCTGAAATTTCAAAATGATTTGTTTTAATGCGTGAGAATACTATAATCTACTTGACTCCACGCTTTGTTATTGAAGTTTTAAACGCTGCGCTGGTTGAGACATTTCTCGTCATTAGTCATTTCTGGGAGGGGTTTCCTTAGATATGGCAACGCTGCCCGTTTATCTGTAAAACGGTCAACCAGATGGGCACAAGCCCATCATTGTGTGTGTACACAAGGAATTCCAGATATTCCCCTGAACGGAAATTTAATCTAGCACATGCTGAACTAAAATAAACATCTTTGATGTGTAGCTAGAAACAGCTTATGATTTTAACCATTTTTTAATATGCGGGAGTCGGCTGTACACGGATGATTCAAAAAGCCGGAACATCTATATAACAGAAAGTTCATTCGGATAGAACATGGGAGCTTCATATACAAACATAGGTTCTAACATACCAACAAAAGAGATATAGGGTAGATAGAATTTAAATATTCCCCAAGAAATATTATGATACTACTCTAATATATTAGATATAATTTCAACTATATAATATAACTTCAAACTGTATTAAGATCAGGGTTGAAAAAAAAACATGTTTTTAAAAAAATAAAAATCATGTATTTTCATGTTTATAACACTGTTAATACATGTTTAAAACAGTGAAAAAAATTTAAAAAACTATTGCCTATATAATCTAGTAACATTAATGAAGTTCCTTGAAAGTGTTATTACTATTTTTGATCCAGCTCTATTAGAGCACATCTCTAATTTAGAAGCAGACGTCGGGAAATTACCGTTTGGACATCGGGGAAGTACCGTTTGCCTTTGGGTAATTTTTTGCGTGGTGGTGTGTTTTGTTTTTTGTGCATTAAAGATCGGCAAAGAAAGAAAGGCAGTGACAGGGAGGAGAAAGGATCCCGTGTGTAAATATTTTAAGGAGACTGATGCCAAAGCTGACTCGAAAATAAAAGAGCAAAATGTTTAACCTGCAATATCGACATAGTGCCACTGGTGGCTAGAATGCTCAAGCATATTGAAATTGTAAACAACTTAAATAAGGAAGTTTGTTAGAAAAACAAAATATTCATATATCAGATAGTTCTGATACCGACAATGATGATGTTTCTACCGAACCTATTTTCTCAAAGTTGAGTAACTTGGAGAATTGTGGAAAAGGTACATTTTTTTACTCGGAGGTCCGTAAAAAGTATTGAAAACTAAAAATTTATTCTGTGTACATTTTCCATGTTTTTATATTTTAAAAATATGGATTTAAGGATTTATTGATTTTTTGTTAAATAAGATGG